TTGCCTGGCTCAACTGCCTTTGGTCGGCCCCTCCTCTCTGACGCTGTACGACTAGCTGAGTCGTGATCTTGCCCATCATGAAGCCAGCTTCGTCGAAGTTGTAGACGTCCTCGTCACAGATGCCGTACTTAGCCTTTGTCTGCTCTACAAGCTCAAACTAGCTCTTGATTAGGACTGGATCTTCACATAGAGCTCTCTGCCTATCGTACGCTCGATTGAAACGCGTCGTAAGACTGTCTGTACGCTTGACAAAGTTGGCTGGCCACTTCTGCCCAACCTGGCCAGCGCCGCGCGCAGCCAGCAGCTTATCAGCCATATCGCGCACAGCAGCATACGTGGGCGCAAATCCACGTAGATCTAGATCAAGTATATGATCAACTATCACCTCCTCTTCTAGCTTAGTGAGCTTCTTTAAGTTAGGCTGGCAATCGCGTCAAGCAGGTATACCAGCGCGTCGGCGGCGGATTGTTCGTTCAGACACGTTGTAGACAGCAGCAGCGCGACAATTACTTTATGTTTAATAGAGATTAATAGAAGAAATAGCAAGCTAAATATCTGCTTCATTTAAAGCTAATTAAGTAGCGCTACGTTGAGCCATTGTTCGTTGAGATAGGAGAGGTGTGCAGGTTTGGTGGGGTGCGGCGCTCGCTTACCTGCGGCGCTCGCTTGCCACATACGTTATACTTATTATAATTTAATCTACACATTATGCCAAACGGAATTATGGTCAAAAGGGAATAATGGTCGGATAGCGCGTCTTACCCCTGCCAATTCATCTCGTTGCTTCTAATCACTTTGCCCAATCCAGCCTCGATCTACTAAGTGCCCCTTTACTCTATGGTACATGCACGTGCGCACCTACACGCGTACGCGTGTCGCGTTTACTCTCCTTTACTCTAGAGTACTTCACCAAGGAGTCAGATTTTGGAGAGATGAGAATGCCAATGCGAGGTATTTTGTGTTACGAATAAGCGAAACTGCTTACGCCGGCAGGCACAGCAGCGCCATGACTGCACCCTTCCGTACGTCACGTGACTGATGGTCCACGATCAAACCCCTCGCCAATCAGGACAGTTACTCATACTGATCGTTCACGATCAACTCAATGATCGTCCACGATCACAAAATTCACTTAGTATATATAGCAGTAGGCATTGAGACCTTATGGCTCGGTGTTTCAACTTAAGTTACGAGTATAAGTACAATATACGAGTTACTTACAGAGACACTATTCATTGCACCTTGTTGCTTCGTCCGCGAAAATCAATCTTCTAGAGTCTTGACACCAGAAGTCTTACATCACTTCCACTCAAGATCGTTACTCTTAACACTCTGCTTCGACAGGCGGCAAACCGTTCAGCGATGGGTTTGTTCACCTCCTATCTTATGTTTAACTAGAGCGAGCTCCAATCATAACAATTCAATGGTACGCTACAACACATTGCACCACCAAGAAGTCAAAGTGGTTCAAACGGACAGGGTGATTGGACTCTTTAGAGATTGAAACCTGGTTCATTTAACACATCAAGTCTAAGCACCCGAATAGAGCGAATGAAAAATTTAAGTAGCTGCTGAGCTAATAGAGTGGCTCGTGGAAAGATGTGTGAATGGACTGGCTGCACTTTCACAAGAGTTAAAGTGCTAGTTGCGAAGCGCAAAATATGGCGAGGTAGTCAGCAAAAGTGCTCTTGCTGCTTATGTTTATATATCTAGCAATGTTATAAAAAAGACAAAATATCGTCGTTCGCATGCGTATCATCTGCGAAAAGGGTACAAGATAGTAGCCGTGTTTATACAATTTCCAGATAAGAACAGCCCGGAACTTGGCGGTCAGTTCCACCCTACTTTACCTTGGATCTCTGCTCTATCTTACCTAGCCCTTGTAGACTTTTTATAACCTAAACTCCTCGCAGGCCGTATAGGTCAAACATGAGCATCTCTCTACGGTGCTCATGATTCCAGTGCTCCATGCAAGGAGCTGTTCGTTGTGTATTGTGCGACAGTTGTATTACCAAGATATGCAACGCCTTTCCACCTTCGTATGTCCTTGCAGCAATGGCTTTCTGCCAGTGACACTCAATCCTCTTGCTTGAGCGTACACTTCGAGCTTGTTATTCCTTGACTCATCACACTAATCTCCGGCGTCCGCTGCCATGCCCGCTATGTCTGACGCCTACCCAATCTATTCATCTGGCTGCTGCTCGGTATGTGTCTCGACCGTGGTGTGTTCGGGAAGCACAAGGATATGAGAGAGCTGGAGCGGGTCTTTTGCTCAATCGGCGGAGGTGTCAACGGCGTATCTGCCGGGCTTAAGGGCACATAATAGATGTTGCGGAAGCCACCGAAGTAAACGTAGTTGGCTGTCGGATCATACCTCCATATTGTAAAACGGCTGTGTCGGATGCTAGTTGCGGTTTCGGTGCCAGATGCGTTTCTCGTTGACTTTGAACAAGCGGTAGAGTCTAGGAACGCCGGCCTTGCTCCAATCGAGAGTCAGATTTTAGATGTTCTGCCGCGCTTGGCAACGGTCCTGCACAGCCGCGGGTTAGACGGCCGTCACAGATACATCATGCCCTAATGATGGGGTGGGACGTGCAGAGTCGTTCTGCATTAGCCAGGGATCGGTACTCGCTTCCGCCGAGAGGTACCGATCGGCGTGGCGGCCCAGTATGAATAGCGCGCACAAAGCTGACGATGACTTCCGAGCACCAGAGTGAGGGTTTAAGGCTATCATAAGGCCATTCTACGAAAACTCGGAGCAAAAAAGACATAGCAGTAGTTAGAGCTACACTTTCATCTTGTTGACCCACTATGCGTCTTCTACAACGCAAATATGACGATATATACAGTTTAACGTAGTTGCCCCTACCCGACTCTTGACTAACCCAGCCCTGCCCCTACCCAACTCAAATGCCAAGAGTTGGGTAGGGGCAGGGCTGGGTTGCTTAGTTATCTGACCCAGCCCTACCCCGGCCCGCTTATTAAGCAACCCAGCCCTGCCCCTACCCAACTCTTGGCAGCCCTGCCCCAGCCCTACCCCAGCCCATTTACCAGTCTAGTTAAGTCAGCCCTAACGCTAAGCCTATTTAGTGCGGTTCGGGGGTGTCAAAATTCGCGGTTCGGGGGGTACAAAACGGCCGGATACGGGCGGAAACCCTAACGCTAAACCCAATACGGCACGGTTCGCACCCCAACCCGCGCCTCATATTGGTTAGGATGCGGACCTATCTCTACTTCAACTCCATGCCAGGATGTTTGCACTTGCAGATCAGTACGAGATTCCAGATTTGAAAAATTTAGCTGCAGAAAAGTACTCTTCTAGATGCACCGCATCACGAACTCTGGAGCTTCTAGTGTCACTCCGAAATGTTTATGAAACCACCCCTTCTAGTATCAGACGGCTGCGCGACACGGCCTATATGGCTGTCCGAAAGCATTTGCCAGAAATTCTCAGGAACGAGGAAGCCGCGGAAATGTACGACAAGATCCTTTCTGAAATTCCCGAGTTCACAAAAGATTTATTGAGATGTTACACTAGCAATCCTGTATATGGGCATTGCCTATCATGTTGCTCGCATCAACCTATGGAACCATTGCAGGGAAGGTGCAAGAAATGTAAGAAAGGCAGTGTGCTTCACGGCTGGTAAAGTATCTGAGAGCTGTGCAGAGGTCTTGCCGAACAGGGGTGTGGATGGAGTGGTGTTAGCCTGTGCCTACCTAGAAGTAGCGGAAGCTACTTTTAGCAGCTCAGCCCCCACAAAACTTATCTTTTTCTGTATCCTACCTTGATCTTGCTCGTATTTTTTTTAAATCTGCCAAGTAGTTAGCCTCTTCGTGGTCTGCGCCCTAGGTGTGAGGCAAGATGGCACAATGCAGGACAGCATCGCCGAACTACAAGGGCTGGGTTGCTTAATAAGCGGGCTGGGGTAGGGCTGGGTTGCTTAGTACTGGGTTATGCTGGGTCTTAGTTATTAGTTATATGTATATATCAAAGACTTATCACGCACAATTATCACAGTAGTAAATTTAAAACTAAGAACTTATAAAGCTTTCATTTGACTTCTAGCATATAGCTAGTTCGCAATCATGGCCATCTCTCAATCATAAAAGCCCTCAGTTATACTTGATACTACCCGTGCCAAGCCTGTTGAGATAGTGCTTGACAAGATCCCCATCCTTCTGAATGGTAACTCTCTTAGCATGGATAGCGTTTAGGTTACAGTCTAGATAGTTAGCAGCTGTGATTAATATCTGTGATAATATAACATACCCTCAAGAAATCCAACCAAGAAATACTCAGCAGCCTCTTGAAGAGCTTCTAACGCCTCTCTCTGGATACGTAGAGAGTGTTGCGGATATACCTCTTCCATAATCTCCCTCACAAGTCCTGCAAATCGAGTCCTTGGAATAAGCAGATCAGTGGTCTTCTGCAATTTTTTGATCTCTCTCAGTGCAACAGCTAGTAATTATTAGTCGCTTGCTGTGATAAATGACTGTGATAAACTTACTGCCAGGCCTAAACCTACGCCTCCTGTTGGCGACAGACGTAGATGGTTGAGCACTGGGCTGTGCAGGAGGGCCGGGCTCGTCTTCCTCATCGCTGGCCGGCTCTTGATCCTCATTGTTGGGCTCAGACGTGGGCGGCCCACACTTGGCTGGCTGCTTACGGGGGGCTTTGCCACCTACAGAATGGAACATAGTACCGCCATTCCTACTATTAATTAGCTATTACTTGTAATAAATTACCGTAATAAACGTACGCAAAAGGTGCAAGTTGGCCACCAGTCGAGATAGGGGGCGGGGAGGGATAATTGTAAGCAGTAGTCCTAGCATTTATTAGCAATTTCCTGTGATAAATAACTGTGATAAACTTACGGATCTGGCTGGCCACCTCCAGCAGAAAAAGCAGGATTGCCAGTTGTATGAGTTCCTATAATCTCAAGTTCGTCTTCAAGAGCTGTTGATTCGCTAGATGACGGCTGCGGAGACGGCTGTCTTTCAGGCGACGGCAGCACGTTTAACCGTTCTGCCATGTCCCCAAACGACTCATTGTCTGGCCCCCCCACCTCGTCCACTGCTGCCTGCTCGGATTCGGACATGGTACGTGATAAATATCTGTAATAACCATTAGGGTTGAGCTGAGAAATTTGGCGCTGGGCTGGGAAAGTTAGGGTTAGATCGAGAGGGTTGGGGGATAAATACTTAGCTGTAGAGTAGTTGAGAATTTTAGGGATATATGAGTAGGTGAAAGTGAAAGTGAAGGTGAAGGTGAAGGTGAGTGCACGGACCACATAGGGTCTTGCTACGGGTCTGCGAGATAGTTAGCAAGAAATCGCCATAACTCTACGAAGCAGTGATTAGATACTGTGATAGTTGGCTCATTGGGTAGAGCTACTCTAGGGCTTTCAAATAAGACTAAAATCAAAGCGCTCCGACTTTTATTATCCGAGATATTGGCTGTATGAAAGATGTTGTTCGCCAGCCCGACGCTAGCGCGAAATCCAGGGCGCACGAACCCCTGATTGCTTTAATAGGTAGACTATCACCAAACTTCCTACTCTCTCTTAGTAACTATCCCCCCCCCCCACTATACCAGACATTATATCAGTACTTTATCACAGTCAACAATGCCGCGCACGCCAGAAATCAAGCGCGAGCCCACGATAGAGGCTGGTGGCGACGTACCTGAGGGTCTAGCACCTCCACGCGTTGTCCAGATACCCAAGGACTTTACTGAGCAGGAGTGGGCAGATCTTACTGAAGTAATAATCCCAGTCTATTATCACGGTAAATACTAACGTTAGTAGGGCTTTGAAAATGAGCAAGACGAGATCAATTTTATCATTGCGCAACGTGGATCTGGAGGTTCCCGAAAGGGTCGTCCAACTGGTCTGCGAGTCCAATATCAAGGTCAGCTCAGTAATACAGCTCGAGCTATTGCACAGAGAGATCTCGCTGCGTCACGTACCGAGGAAGAAGCCGCTCTTCAACGCGCCAAAGATTCTGACCGCGCTGCTCGGGCGAAATTTCTCAAGTCACTTAAAGAGAAAGAATGGTATAAGACCGCCGGAGGGGATGAGAAGGATGGGATCATAAAGAGCCATCTTGAGGAGCATGAATCTAAGCGCTTTGAAGAAAAGCGAAGTGGTAAGTTATCACAGTTTTTTATTACAGACATCTACTAATAGTTATTAGCTGATTGGATGGCGTCTGCTCTGCAAGCTGTGCACGCGAAATGGTCCAAGATCCAGAATGAGATCGACAAAAGACGGCATCAGCACATTCTCCAGACTACCGCTAGCGACGCCCCGTCTGATACCTCTACTCAGGGGTTACGCCTTTCTGCTCGTCTCTATGGTCGAAAGGGGGTTGTTGACTCACTCATACGCAAAGAATATCTTCGAGGATTGGCTAAGCTGAACAACAACGCCTTTGAGAGCGAGCAAGCACGAGATGAGTGGCTCAAGTTTTGCGAGAGCCTTTCTCCCAAGGAAAAAGAACTTGCTATAGATAGTTCCTAGCTATAAGTTTATCACAGTTTGTTATCACATTCAACGACTAACTAGTATAGAAAAGAAGAGCCTGCTTCTATCCTCGACCAGTTTAATCCAGATACGCGTCTTGAGGATAATAAGCCATACATCGAGGGCTACGGTAGTGACGAGTGTGAAGAAGAGCTTGATGACGAAGATAAGATCATAGACGAGAATAAGGATGGCTATAGTAGTAACGATAGCTTTTTGGCTCCATAGGGGGCTGATAGTGCTGAGATAGAGGAGGCTGAGGATCAAGACGAAGAGGCTGAAGAAGAGAAGTCTGAGCAGTTCTGGCTGTCCAAGCATATCTCTGACAATGCTCTAGTAGTTAGGGTTTAGAGTATTATGCCAGGGTTTATCCCAGCCAATAATCACAGTATAACCCCTGTGTCGATCCAAACTTTCTCTTATATAGAACCTGCTTCAGACATGTCTAAAACAACACTAGTGTTTTAGACAATCTTAGCTATGCTAGAAGCTAGAGAACTTAGAACTTCCTACCATATCCAGTTTTCCACAGATAATATTTGTCTATCTAGTAACTTTGATTTATCACAGTTATTTATTACAGATACAATCTTCACGATGGCTGAGCCTCCTACAGAACTACCAGATATCCTTGCGTATCTCAAGATGAGTGCTCCACACCGAGATAAAGGTGGTATTAAAGACACACTTACACTCGTCCAGTATCCAGTACTTGAAAACAATAGCAGTGAAGAGAACAAAGCGATCATTTTAAACTGGAAGGAGTGGTGGAACAAAACACCATGGGCCCAAGATCTTTCGAAGCCAGTTCCACACTGGGGCTCTTCTTGTCGTACGAGCCAAATCTAGACAAACTTTGGAGAGGCTGCAGAGATCCTAACTGGCCGTCCATATATCTTCTGCTCGAACTGTAGTTATATACTCGCGCACCCATCAGCTGGAAATATTGGTACAAAGCATCTTCATAGACATCGTCAAACCCAGACTTGCCAGCTTATCTCTTCACCTATACACAACGAGCTATCGAACTCACTCCGCCAAAGTATCCCACTACCAACAAATATTAATCCTCGCGCAATACCAGCCTACTTAACTAAGACATACGAACAAGAACTAGTAAGAGTAGTTGTTGATAACTACTGGAGCTTCCGAACACTTGAGCGGCCATTATTTCAACGATTTCTCCAGTTTCTCTAGCCTAACGCTGCGATTATTAGCCGTTATAAATTCAAGTTAGCGTTTGAGTCACAATTTGAGAAGGCTTCAGCTGAGCTTCTTAATGATCTTGGCCAAGAAACAAAAATATCACTTGCATTAGATAGTTGGGCTTTAAGTAACTATCTTAGTTTCCTTGCGATTAACGGTTACTATATCAATACTCAATGGCAACTCAAAGAAAAGCTTTTGGATTTTATACCGATCCGTGGGAGACATACTAGAGCTTCAATAGCAGATGAAGTTCTAAAACTTCTTTCTAGGAGTGAACTCTAGAAAAGATTGCTATCTATTACTTGCGATAATGCTAGCAACAATAGCACTCTTACGCAGTCTCTTCAGCAAGGTCTACAACAACTTGGTATAAGCTGGAGTCCAAGTGAAAACACTATTCCCTGCTTAGCCCATATTATCAACCTCGTTGTCCAGGATATTATCTAGCACTTAAGGCTGTCAGCTTCCACCGAGTCGGATAATATACAAGATTTGCAGAGATAACAGATTAATGAAGTAGATGCTAACATCTCAGTCCCCAATTCACTTCGCAAGGGAAGAATTTTTATCACAGTTATTTATCACATACTAACTACAATATAGATTAGAGCAATCTGCATCATAGTTGACTCATCTCCTCAGCGATACAAACGGTTTCTCGCAACACAACGGGATCTACCATCAAAAAAACGCCTTAGTGTTATCCGTGATGTTAGAACACGATGGAACTCGACATATGATATGTGTGAGCGCGCAGTCAAGCTTCGACAATACATCGATGAATGGCTCAAAGATGAGATCGCATTAAGGGTTCCTATCCATACCGAAAACCTCTCAGAGGCCGACAAAAATACTGATATTGATTCTCGGGATCTTAAGAGACTACGACTATCTGCGCAAGAATGGTCGCATCTTGAGACGGTTACTGAAATGCTTAGCCATTTTAAGACTGCAACAATGTCTCTAAGTCAGAGTCGAAAACCTCAAATACCATATATCTGGCTCATGTATAATCAGCTTTTTGATTTTCTTGATCAGATGGAGGTTGATTTAAGAGAAGACCCAGAGAATAGCAACTGGCCACAAGTAGTCAGAGCTGCGGCGGCGAAAGGGAGGGCAAAGTTGAGTAAATACTACTCGAAAACAGATAAAGAGCGTGGCTTCTTATTCAACTGCGCGACGATCCTTGATCCAACGCAAAAGCTTACAGCCTACAAGGTATTATCACAGATAGATACTAATAGAAGATGTAGGATGAGACATAGGAGTTTCAAGATAAGCATATCTACCGGCAGCAGTTTCTTAATTATCTAGCTCGATATAATAATCAAGAAACTATACAGTCAACACTAAGCTCATTTCCTCGGAGGTTATCAAGCACTGAATGGTTTCGAAGGCCTACTTTACTTCGATCACAATCAAGCCAGATTTCTCTTTCAAGCCAAGATTCTTCAAGCCAGGAGATTGAGGAGAGTAGAGGGCCAACCTATCAAGAAGGGGAGCTATATCTAAGCAGCCCTAGCATTGATCCACGGGAACATGTCGATATCTTAGAGTGGTGGAAAGCAAGTGAGATCACGTACCCCCACCTTGCCCAAGTTGCAAAAGATATTCTAGCTATACCAATTGCGCAAGTAGGTGTAGAGAGAGTCTTTAGTATTGCCAAGGAAGTTATTAACGATCGTCGACATCGGCTTTCTGCTAAAAAGATTCGACAACTCATGATTCTTAAATTTGCGAATTCTGATGAGATAGAGAGTCTTGATGGAAACTTGGACGAGCCTATAGAGGAAGCTACCCAACTTTCTAATAATATTAGTGATTTGTTTGAGCTCCCAGCAGGTATAGAGGAGTCTAGAAGTCAGCGCCAGAGTCAGGATATGGAAGAGTCTATAGAGGAAGTGGATGAGGTAGAGGACGAGTTACCACTTCCTCCACGAAAGCGTGTCCGCCCTGCCCGCTACCGTGATAGTTAACTGTGATAAATCCCATTAGTTTCATCTCAAAGCTCTTTTTAAAGCTACTGTGATAATAAACTATAATAAATTCGAATCTATTCTACCCTAAAGTTATTCGTAACCCAGCTAGGCAGGCTATACCCAGCCCTACCCCTACCCAACTCCTTAGCTGCCCCAGCCCTGCCCCAGCCCGACTCTTAGCTACCCCAGCCCTGCCCCAGCCCGACTCTTAGCTGCCCCAGCCCTGCCCCAGCCCGAGTGCCAAGCAACCCAGCCCTACCCCAGCCCGAGTCTCTATAGCCCCAAGCCCTACCCCAACCCGAGCCGGGTGCCCCATACCCGTTTACCAGTCTACTCCTATTCCTACTCTTATCCCGACCCTTACTCTACTCTTACTGGCTATCGCAATATACGTTATCATTACTAACGAATGCATTCGTATGGATTCTTTCAGGTGGAACCGGGGGGGGATCATTTGGTCCTATAAAGAGAAAGCCGCTAACTCGAGTCGCGTAATAATCTAATCGACATTTATCTCCCCCTATCAATTCTTTTTTGACACGCCAAGCTGTATAAAAAACACTAACTCTGCAGTATTTTATATTTTGCCCACAACCGTTGGTACAGGGCCATTCGTCTGCCTTTGACGTGAAGGTGCTAAATCCATCCTGGCCTTAACATGAATCATCCACTTTTAATCTTTTCGAAACGATGTCAAGAAATTGGGTCAGGCTAGTATATGTAGAGCAATATTGTCCCGCCGGAATCGTCCAAGTTTTTCTAACTGCGAACGCAATAGCGCGACAATTTTGGTGCCGGGCTAGCCCCAAGGGAGTGAATGCAAGGAGGAAGAAAAGGATAAAAAGTTTTGCCATAATTGAGATAATTACTTGGGTTGGTCTTACTGGTAGAGGTATCATACCAATGTATACTGTAAAGAGGAGCTCGAAGCATTATTTATATACACAGTGATATATTACTAGCGTATATAATACCTACGGAGTAAGTTCAAGCTGCGCATAGTCTACTACTGAAACCTTGTATATGGACCACTCCTCTATTCTCAACAATATTTCATAGCGTCATTAATAAAGGTTCTAGATATCACTAAGGTTTTTCTCCGGCGATTAGTAACCCCAACTAACTAGTTTTAACAGTTACCGCCATTGACGTAGTAATGTCTAGGCTGGTAAATATTGCTTTTGTCGGGTCTGACATAAGCAGAACACCAAAACTTTCGTACCTTCGTATCACGACGAATACTCGAGACCAAAATCTAGAAATTCTAAATATTATACTTTTCATATATTAGATTAATATATAAAAGTTATGGATTAATATTCTAGGTACTCGCCGTAATTCAAGGATATGAAGATTCTAGTCTTCTGCTTATGTCAGACCCGACAAAAGTAAGATTTACCAGCCTAAGTAGGCCCCACCTCACTTGCGTCCCACCTCGAAGATAAATCCTTGACATTATAGTAAGCTCTTATTAGCGTGTTGGAAATCCGAACGAGAATCAAATGAACAAATTTGCACATATTAGCGGTAAATACGAAGATCTCACACAAGCGGCACATAGACTCTGTAAGGGAGTACAGTTGGCTAGGGGTCTACCCCTCTTCTGTACTTCGTTACTGGTGTCCGTCCGCGGAGGACACTGGCGCAGTGGAGACGTTCCACTGGCCCTGCAGTATATCTACAATCCTAGCCAAAGCTTGTCAGCTTTGACATTGCTTACCTTTTGGCTTCGGGGGCCAAAGGTTGTTAGGCGTGGTGCAGTGGGCTAGGGCTGCCCCCTGACACCGCGGACACCAGTAAGGAAGTACGGAAGAGGGGTAGACCCCTACCCAGCTGTACTCTCTTACAGAAAGGCTATTATGATATTCATAGAGCTTATTGTCTATGCGTTATTAAATTTGCAAGGGTTAGTTTTTGCGATTTTTGGTGGGTTTTCGGGCGGCCAGCTTACTGATCCAGCCAGCTCACTATCCCGCACGTTGCACTCAGCTGCTGACAAATCTCAACGTCACAAGTAAGGTGCGGGTGTAAGGTTTGATATTAGGAGCCATAAGAAAGAGATTTTTATGTGGAGTGATCTTAGAGCTACTTACATAGTAGTTCAAAGGCGGCATTTACGCCAAGAAGAGTGGCGCCGAAGCGCCGATATTAGCGTCAGACGGA